TCTCTTTCTGTGCTATGTCTGCTATTCCAAGTCCATCATTCGGGCTGTGAATACTGTTTTGCTTGCCTTGATATTAGACTTTGTAGATGTGTTCCTTGACATGCATGTATCTTAAAAGATGTTTAAGTGATTTTCTGAACACATCAGGTTGGATCCAGGGGTGCGTGAGTAGAAACGAAGAGGTATTTCACACAGTTCCGCTTGCGCAAGCAGTAGCTCAGTGACCGGAGCACCACATAACGCAGCAGTATAATTTTTAATGACATAGCTATAAGCATATGGAGCAATGGTATGTACACCAGACGATTCACACGATTTCATTTCATTTGCTTTGGAAATCATGCCATGTGAAATTATCCCTTGTGCTATGGCTTACACACAGGGAAAAGATCGTGGGGATACAATCACTGTCGCTCAGCGCAAGCAGACTGTGAGGAGTTATTCTAGGATGATTAGGCATGTGGAAACCTTCTGTGGGATCCAGCCCAGTGTTCCCTCTAAACTGAGTTAGTGTGAGCTAGCTCACAGTTTTTTAGCTTCTGGCTCACCCATTTTTGTTTTAACTCAGGAAGGATGGCTCCAGAGCAAACTAATTTATGCAGTAGCCAAATTGCTCACTTACAACTTTAATGCCAGTAGCTCACAAAGTAGAATTTTTGATCACAAGACTCCACAGCTTATGTATGGTGTATGTTTAGAAAATTAAAAAAGGGGAAAAAAAAACAAGACTCCACAGCTTAGAGGGAGCATTGATCCAGCCCCTAATTTTTTATATTGTGGCCTCTCATTCTTGGTACTTTCTTTCCATACCTGTCTTTAAATCTGTTGCTGATAAATTATGTTGGGTGTCTCCAACTTCTATGTGAGAGGGAAGAAAAAGTGCTCTTTGTCTGCTCTCTCTATGCCATGTATAGTTTCATAAACCTGTGTCGTGTCCCTTCTTGGCCATCCTGTCCCTCAAATGGAAACAAAGGCCTAGAGTCTTCAGCCTTTCTTCATGGGGAAGAGGCTCTAACCCAGAGGTGTCAAACATGCAGCCTGGGGGCCAGATCAGGCCTCCGAGGACTTCTATCAGGTCCGCAGAGGAACTGGCTGTCTTCTGCATCTTCTTCCAGTTCTGCTGCTGCTGTGTCATCGTAGGTTTGCAGCTTACAGATACACACCTGAACAGTATACTCAGGATTGTAACAGCACAGATATTTTGATGCAATAATTCAGAGCAAGAGGTGTAAGTTATCAGACACTGTTAAATAAACAAGATATTGCAAGAGTGCTAATGTTTTAAGCATGATTTTATTTTAAGTTTAAAAAAATCCTTTATGTTTGTGTCCTTTATAAAGTTTATATTTCCGCTACCTGGCATTACATTTTATGACATACATGGCCTGGCCCAACAAGGTCTCATTTATCTCAAATCCAGCCCTCATAACAAATGAGTTTGACACCCCTGCTCCAACCCCTTACGTGGAGGTGTGTCTGGGTGGACACTGCCTAAAGCTGCCCTCAGCCAACCAGAAGAGGGAAAAGATGAGTCGTATCATGTCACTTCCACCTTCCTCCAGCACTTCCTTTCACAAGTGAAGCATAGCCCTTCAGTGACTTCCCTTTGCCTGGAAACAAGAGCAACTTGGCCCTTGCTAGCCCCCACTAGAATTAATCTCTTGCACACTGATAAACTTCTGAAGGTCATGCTGGGCCTCAGAGGCTGGCTGTCTGCTCCTCCTGCATTGACTCAGAGTGTCCCTTAATGCTATTTATGGTTCAGTGATAGGATCAGGAGGAATAAGCCCTGTGTACTCCTTGGAAGCACGCTCTGTTTCTCTGGGCCCCACCGTGCCTACCTTTGCATTGCTTAAGGCAATGGAGCAGCTGACTCTTTGGTGGGGAAGTTTGGACTTCTTATGAGGGTCATTCTGGTGGGGACTTTGCACTCCATCTTTCCCCTTTGGCAAGACCATCTCAGGATCTGCTGCACAAGAGGAAGTCGGATATGGCAGAAAGAGCAAAGAGAAAATCACTCCGAAGCAGCCCAGGTTTCTCTTTCCCAGCAGGGTAAGAAGGGAGAGGTTCTATCAGAGAGAGGAGAGCTACTTGCGTTGAGAAAGATGGAACTGGAGGAGCGGAGAAGCAGGCGAGCGGCAGCAGAGGCTCCGCACACTGGTGCCCAGGGTCCAGATTTTTGCAAGGTCTTATTTGCGTCACAGGTCAGGGAGGGGAAGGAGACACTGTTCTCCTCTCATGCCCGTCACCAATGGGGGTGCTGGTAAATGATCAGGCTGAAAGTGTCACAACACTTTCCCTCCACTCTTTTCTGTTTTAGGGTCTTTCATATTTAACTTTGTTGTCCTACTTGGGACATTGATTGAAAGCTGGGTTGATTGCTTTTTATTGTTTTATTGATAGCGGTTTATTAGCTGGTATCTTCCATCGTAAGCTGCTTTGGGAGCCGGGCTTGGTTGAGAATGCAAGACCTACTGTGGGGCAGTGGCTGTCTTGAGCAATAATCATGTAGTTGTTTTCTGTATTTCCCCCAACCATTTAAAATCACACCAACAGAAGAATATTTGACCATTCAGGAGGTCTTTGGCTGTATGGACAGGGAAGGAGAGGGCTGGAGGGGGGTTCCTGATTGCTTGCAACTCACAAAACAGAGAGGTTTGCTGTGTGGAAATCAAAAGTTCAAGGCCTCCCCCCCACCCACACACACTGTTGCTTCCCCACCACCACCACCACCACCACCACAGCACACACTTTGTCTTGGAGAACAGAGTTAACTGTAAATCGTTTATGAGGCTTAATAATCTTTCTTTGCCAGATAACCCGAGGAAGCAGATGATGAATACTCCCATTTTGTATGGAACAAGCAGTGCAAATATGTTAGCTGGTTGCAATGTACATTTATTGAAGTAGAATATATAATAGTAGTCATATTATAAGAGATAACTTTAATTTCAGTTTGAGGGTTACTTAGGCTGTTAATAAGATACAACGATGAAGCATTTGCTTGCTCTTGACTTTGCCTGAGTCATGTTGATTGTAGTGTTTCCTTGTTCTAAAACAGAACACACACAACCCCCCCAGAAATATTCCCATTTTACTGAAGGAAAATTCACACAAGGAATATGTTTAGCTAACCAGCTACTTTTCCTCTTGCTTTTTTGCACCCTGCGCCAGTTGTGCACCCTATGCGCAGTATCTTCTGGTGGCACAACATGGTTGTTCACCTTTCCCAAGGTGTCTGGAATTGATTAGTGCCTGAAACAGGACTTTGGGTAGATAGACCAAAGGGCTGATGCACTGTAATTGTTGCCATTTTCAGTCATTGTCATTAGTGGATACAGCATATCTTATAACTTACCTGGCACCTGGCACAGTGCATAGTAGCATAAACAAATAACACAGCCCTGTCCTGTAGTACTTAAAGTCTAAATTCTGATGCTGGGGAGGCCATAAGGAAGAGAGGAAGAAGGAGGAAAGGTGAAGGTAACAGGGGGAGGGGGTATGCAAATTCCTTTAGACAAAAACTAGATTCTCACTCGGTAGTGAAGTCTAAGAAGCTGGCCAAAAGCTTTGCTGAAGACTTGACTTTAGAGAAGACATTTCAATGAAGAAGGAGGGACAAAATAGCACCAGGGTTTTTTTTTCTGGGAGGGGTTTCCAGAGAGGACTGTTCTTGCAATCCTAACAAGAACAAAGATAAAAAAGTACTCCACTTCAGAGAGAGTAAAACCTCACAACCATCTTTCTACTTTTTTGGGGGGAAATCTTGCTACCCCCCCAACACCATTCCTGGTGGTGGTGTCAGTTTGGTGTAGTGGTTAAGAGTGGCGGATTCTAATCTGGAGAACTGGGTTTGATTCCCCACGCCTCCACTTGCAGCTGCTGGGTGACCTTGGGTCAGTTACAAGTTCTCTCAGAGCTGTTCCCTCAAGAGCAGTTCTCTTAGAGCTCTCTCAGCCCCACCTACCTCACAGCCAGGGTATCTATTGTGGGGAGAGGAAGGGAAGGAGATTGTAAGCTGCTCTGAGACTCTGAGTGAAGGGCGGGGTATAAATCCAATCTCCTCCTCCTCCTCCTCCTCCTCCTCCCTGAGAACCATATCTAAGCAAGCAATGGTTTCTTTTTAGCTCTTGAACACACATGAAGCTGCCTCATACTGAATCAGACCATCAGTCCATCAAGGTCAGTATGGTCTGCTCAGTCTGGCAGTGGCTCTCCAGGGCCTCAGGTAGATGTCTTTCACACCACCTATTGATTTACTGGAGCTGTTGGGGACTGAACCTGGGACCTTCTGCATGCAAAGCAGAGACTCTTCCACTGAGCCACAGCTCCTCCCTACTTACAGCCCCAAAATGTAAGGAACTAATTTCTCTCCTCTGGTTTGCAGGTGAAAGAAAGAAAACTGGAAAGGGACTAGAACAGAGAGATTTGTTATGAAGTGCAGCTGACCTGTTAAATAATAAAAAAAAGAGCATCCAGGTGAAATGCCCCATCCAACCCACTTCGTTTGCAGGCAAGCTAGTTGCTGAAAGAGCTATCTGGGGTCCTGGAAAAAACGGGTGTCACTCAAACTTTCTGTGTGTTTTTAAGACATTGTCTACTAAGCAAACCACTTCCTACAAAGAAGCTCTTTAAGTGAACACCACAGAAAGGAATTCCTGAATGCAAACATGTAACATCCAAAAGGTGGTGAAAAGTACATAAATATAGACCGAGGAGGTTGGCATTGTTTTGTGCATGGTAAAGGGTGTGGGAAGGGAATGATGCTAAAGGTTCCCTGCTCTCTTGATCACTCTTTGCAGGCTTCCTTTTCATGAGAAGTCCTTCAGTTGTGCTCATTCGCGGCCGCTGCAGATTCATTCCTAGACTTGGTCACCATTGATCTGAGCCAATGCGATGCATGTGGTTTGCAACAAATGGACTTCTCTCTGTCAGATGGCATCTGAATAAGGGCCCACATCCCACCCGGGTGGCCCCGGCTTGTACCCCTCGGTTGCACCATGCAGCTCTCAGCCCATCTTGGACCCAAAGGGATGGTGATGCAGTCTCTCCTCTTCTTAGTATTTCTGAATCGCCACTCACTGCAGAGACCCCTGGCAGCCAACAGCAACGGCATAAGCAGTGATGAGGGACGCCAAGGGGGCACTGGGCTCATCCAGTGTGGAGAATACAGCAACCAGGTCTTGCCCAATGGGAGGTGCAAAATCGTAGCCACCCTGCCACAGCTGGATGAGCAGAGGTGCCCGGATATGTTCCGCTGCACGGACGAGGTCTCTTATTGGCTCCATGAAAATGAGGAGCGGAAGCAGCAGATCCTGGAACTGCGTGAACTCATCGCTGAACTCCAAGAAGAGCTGAGGAACCATCGGCATCGCATCAAGGTTCTGGAGTTGCAGGTAAGTATCACCTGCCATAGGGGAGAAAACAAGAGGAATATACAAGTTATGCTGAAAATTCCTCTCCCAGTAAATGAATGCCTGTTGCCCAGGTGCACAAGCCCCGTACCTGCAAAACTTAACAACTGGTGATCCATGAGGGGGCATGAGTTAGTGGTACCACTGGAATTCACACTCCACAGATTTGGTGCATCAGCTCCAGTACTATGTAATACCCATCTGCAATTTAAACAGTCTCATGAAATCTCCCCTGGCTTGGATGGTGCATCTGAGCCTCTGTTCTCCTCTCTGCCCCTCTTCTCTCCTCCTTGTCTTTTCCTCTCTCCCTCCCCTCCTCTCTCCACTTCCAAACTCCTCCCCTCCCCTCCCCTCCCCCCTTTATTCTCCTTCCTCTCTTCCACTCTCTCCTCCCCTCCCCTCTATTCTCCTCTCCCCTCTCCTCCCATCCCCCCCCATTCTCCTCTATTGTCATCTCCTCCTTTCCCGTCTTCCCCTCTCCTCTCCTCTCCTCTCCTCTATTCTCTCCAATCTCCCCTTTCCCCCTGTTTCCCCTCCTCTGTATTTTTCTCTGGCCTATCCCTCTCCTCTATTCTCTCCTCCTCTCCCATCTCCCCTTTCCCCCATCTCCCCTCCTCTCTATTTTCCTCTGGCCTATCCCCATCTCCTCCCTCTCCTCTCCTCCCCAATCCTCTTTTCCTCTGTCCTTGTGCATGCAGGACGACATCATTCCCAGAATGTCAGCCATCCTAATGTTGGGCATCCTTGGAATGACGTTTACCATGGAGCACTGGGTGCCTCAGGCACTGATAAAACAGGTGAACTGTCAGGGAAGGAACAAGGATGGAGGAGGGATGCAGGGGGAATTGTCCTTCTCCCAGCCACCAGTCACAGCCCAAAGTGCCTTGCCACTGGATGTTCAGAAAGGGAGACAGAATTGTGCAGTTGCCTAGTCCAGGTACCACTAGAGCAGCAGCATGGGAATGAACTGCACACATGCAAAGCATAAAACAAGCAGTTTAGAGCAAGCTTTGAGTGAGCAAAAGCACAAAGTAGTTGCTTTTTTAAAAAAAAAATTGAACAATCAGCAGTGACATTCATAAATGGGGAGCCATTTCCAACTCGAGTACAAGTAACTTCGCCCATCTCTATTATTTATTTATTTATTATTTTGATTTATACCCCGCCCTCCCCGCAAGCAGGCTCAGGGTGGCTCTAGTTCACTGTCTCAAGAATCTCTAGTTTACTGTCTCAAGAATATAACTCCAGGAAGCTCCAAAAGGGTTCCTCTGAACTAGCTGAGAAGGTCTCAGTGTGGCAAATGAGGTTCAGTGTGTGTGTGTGTGTCCTCCAAAATGTCCTATCATTACAAGCCTGGCTCAGGTTTTGCAAACTGAGGGTCATGACTTCCCTTTATAGAAAGTGTAAAATGATGCACATTGGAGGGGAACCTCTGACTAAATATACACCCCCGGGATCTGGCCTGGCAGCAGTTGACCAGGGAATCACCATGAAAACGTTGACTTAATGGGTTCATCAATCCACTCAACTGATCAGAGTCAGAAGGTTTCCTCCATCCCCAGCCTTCCGTCAATTTAACTGGCCTTTCTTCCAATGGAAGAGCTACTAAAGTTGGAGGAAGTCTCCTGAGGCTGGAGGAACTCTTCCAGTTTTGCTGAGCAGAGATGCTGAATACATTTTAGTGTGTGGCAGCAATGGAAAAGGTAATTTGTTAGGGAAGGGACAGAAAACAAAATGTCCAGAATTGCAATGCCATTGTGAAGAACTACAAGGCAATGGCAATTGTTTACTATAATTCAAAAATAGGGAGAGATGTAGAAAGGAAAAGAGCAACCAGAATGATTAGGAGTAACCTACATGTGACGGCTGAAAAGCCTGAGGCTTTTCTGTTCAGAGAAAAGACAGTCAAGAAGAGGAGCCATGATGGTGGTGGAAAGTGCCCTCAAGTCACAGCTGATTTATGGTGACCCCCCCCATAGAGTTTTCAAGGCAAGAGATGTTCAGAGGTGGTTTGCCATGGCCTGCCCTCTGCATAACAACCCTGGTATTCCAGTTTGGTGTAGTGGTTAAGTGTGCGGATTCTAATCTGGGAGAACCGGGTTTGATTCCCCACTCCTCCACTTACACCTGACTGGATGACACTGGGCAAGCCATAGTTCTGATAAGAGCTGTCCTTGAAAAAGAGCAGTTTCTGTCAAGAGCTCTCTCAGCTCCACCCACCTCACAGGGTGTCTGTTGTGGGGAGGGGAAGGGAAAGGAGTTTGTAAGCCGCTTTGAGACTCCTCTGGGCAGTGAAGGGTGGGGTATAAATCCAATCTCCTCCTCCTCCTCCTCCTCCTCTTCTTCTTCTTCTTCCTTGGAGGAATCCCATTCAAATACTAACCAAGGCAAATAGCTTCCAAGATCTTATGAAACGGGGCTAGCCTGGGCTATCCAGATCAAGGCGAGGAGCCATGATACAGTTATTAAAATTAAGAATGGGGCACATAAAGAGAAAAGAGAACATTCTCCCTGCCCCATTGGGGGCCACCCAAAGAAACTGATGGACAATGGGTTCGGGATGGTCAAAAGGAAGTAATTTTTCACTCAGATGTAATTGGACCGTGGAATGCACTGCCACAAAATGTAATGATGGCCACTAACTTTTTTTTGCTATATTTAAAGGGGTTTAAAGAAATTCTTGGGGGATTGGTCCTTCAATAGCTATCAGCCTCAATAGCCAAATGGAACCTCCATGTTCAGAGGCAGTAGCACTCTGAATACTAGTACTGTGGGGCAGCAGGAGGAGAAAGCTTTGGCCTCCATGCTTTGCTTGTACTCCTTCCAACACCTTCCAGGTGCATTGAGGGGGGGGTCACAGTGAAACAGGATGCTGGACTAGATGGACCACTGGTCCGATCCAGCAGAGCTGTGCCTAGGGTCTTAGCAATGACAGCTCACAGCTCCTCTTCACAGGGCCGTTTAAGGAATGGAAGGGAGAAGAATGAAATGAATTCTGATAGGCTCTTTAATATATCGGTGTCTGGAATGGCACAAGGAAACGCCCGCCCACGCATCCCATCACAGCCCGACAGAGACACAAACAAGAGCGGGGATGATATCCAGGTGGCGTGACGAATTGCAGAGCCAAGGAATGGCCAGCCCTCTAGGAAGAAATGAAGTTGCCCTGTTATTAAGCCTCATAAATCTTGGCCGCTAAATGGAGCTCCAAATTTGTTTACGAAGACGGCTCGGCCGCACGATTCTGCCCTTTGCATTCTTCATCTGCATGAAAACCCATTGCTTAGATCAAAGCGTTTGCTCTCCAGGGGATGCTCATCTTCTTTAAAAAAGCAAATGACGGCGCAATCTTCTGGGAACCTTCTCCTGTACAGACCTCATTGAAATGACATGGGGAGGGAAAAGAGCACCTGCTTGTCCATGCAGGAAGTCCCAGGTTCAGCCACGGCCATCTCCACTTAGAAGGAGGTAGAGAAGACCCCGCCTCTTGCCTGGAAAGCCCCTGTCAGTCAAAACAGAGCCCTGAGCCAGGCAGGCTAATGGTAGGAAGAGGACCTCTGTTCCTGCATATGGCACAGGTGGCTCTACCCTGAGAGGTATATGAGGAGTCATTAAGGGTGGTAGATCTTACTCTGGCACAACTCTCCTGGCTTTCTGCAAATTACGCAAAACAAAATGACTCAAGAGGGCTTTTTGCAGAGGTAAATAGAACTGTACTATAATGAAATAGTCTGAATATACAGTGGTGGCCAAACTTGCTTAACGTAACAGATACATAGAATAAACATCAGATGTTTGAGAGCCACAAGACATTAACAAATATCGCACACACATTTTTATTGGAAAAATATGCAAATTTGCTTTTTAATTAACATTAAATTAGGCTGTGTGAAAGAGCCACATGTGGCTCCCGAGCTGCAGTTTGGCCACCCCTAGCTGAAATGTGCATTGGTAAAGGAATGGGGACTGTGACCTACCCCACTTTACTGCTGCCTAACACTCGTAAGTATGCTTCAGACTAGATAGTTTCTACATCACTTAAAAGTATCAGAGCCAGTTTGGTGTAGTGGTTAAGAGCTTGGACTCTAATCTGGGAGAACCTGGTTTGATTCCCCACTCCTCCACTCGCAGCTGCTGGCACGACCTTGGGTCAGTCACAAGTTCTTTCAGAGCTGTTCTCTCAAGGGCAGTCCTTGAAAGAGCTCTCTCAGCCCCACCTACCTCACAGGGTGTCTGTTGAGGGGAGGGGAAGGGAAAGGAGTTTGTAAACCGCTCTGAGACTCCAAGTGAAATCCATTCTCCTCCTCCTCCTCCTCCTCCTCTTCTGCTTCTTCTGCTTCTGCTTTGTTTCAGCTCTGAGATTCCTATTGTTTTCTGATCTCTGTAGTCCAAACCCCATTGTGTTGCTTATTGGATGTCCCATCCTGTTGACTGTACTTGATTGTAATCTGCCTTGAGGCTCAGCAAGAAACACGAACTAGAAATGACACAAATAAGTTCTCCTGTGCAAGTCCCATGGAAATGGATTTTTAATTTCCTATTCACTTCAATGGGGCTCAGGCAGGACAACTTAACTGGGTGTGGGAAGAGCAGCTGTCTAGGTTTTCCATCTCAGGTGCCAGAATGTCTTGGTCAGCTCTGGATGCACAGACCCCCTTCCTTTCAGGGTGGGATTCAGGTGGGGAAAGTGATGCTCTGTCATCTTGGTGCTTGGGGGGGGGGTCAACAGTGGGAGGGCTTCTAATGTCCTGGCCCCACTGGTGGACCTCCTGATGGCACTGGTATTTCTGGCCACTGTGTGATACAGAGTGTTGGACTGGATGGGCCTTTGGCCTGATCCAACATTGGCATCTTATGAGATGTTCTTATGAGATGATATGGGTAGACTGGGCCTGGGGTGAAATAGCAGCCTGCCCCACTTTGGAAAGAGAAATGTTTGGTGTGCATTCTGCTTATGCTCAGAAGCTAGTTGAATGAAGCCTTTCTAACTAGAGAAAGGCTGGAGGACCAGTCCCTCTAGCTAGCTTTCCATCTACCAGGCTGAGAAGACCTGCAGTTGAGACACGGGTGGTGATTTCTCTCTATGAATGCAGGACTCATTAGAATCTTCTGGAGAGACAAAATAATCAAAAATTTCTATCAGGTAAACAGCTGAACTCTGATGTGCATAAAAAAGAGAGCCAGAATCCTTTGTTAAGGGAAGTCAAGAATGAGAGAACATTCCAGAACAGTGTCTTCAAACACTGTAACGATGAGGGAGAACGATCTGTCCACTTTCGCTCTTCAGCCAGCAGCTGGGGAAGAGGCACTGAGGCCCAGCAAGCTAGTTGAAGAAATGGCTTCAAGGATGTGCCTTGGACAGAATCAGGAGAAAGTTTTAAACAAATTGAGTCAGTTAAAAGAACAGGAGGATGTTTTCGACCCAGAGGATTGTATTTAATTATTCATTTTTTAAAAAAAACCTTTACTCAATGGTTTTTGGCCTGGTTTTCTCACTGTACTTTTTTCTTTTTGTAAACAGTGGATTTCTTTTAAAGTATTTCTTTTTTAAAAATGTAATGGATGCTTTATTGTGGTCATTCTTCTTCACAAAAGCCTAAACTGAGCATAACACTGACTGGCATAACCATTCCAGAGGGGGAGCTGTGTTAGTCCACTGCAGCAAACTAAAGCAGACATCAAATGGCATCTTAAAGACTAGGGCTGCCAGTTCTGGGTTGGGAAATATCTGGAGATCTGGGAGGTGAAGCTTGAAGATGTTGGGGTTTGGGGGAGGGGAAGGACCTTAGTGGGGCACAATGCCATAAAAGCCACCCTCCAAAGCAGCCATTTTCCCCAGGGGAACTGATCTCTGTCACCTGGAGTTCTCCAGCCACTGCCTGGAGACTGGCAACGCTATCAAGACTGACAAAATGTATTCCAGCACAAGCTTCCCTTAGTCAGGCCTTACCTCTTCTCCCACCTGTTAACGTGGCTATAAAGGTGTCTGTAAAAAGACTAGGCATTCCATAGGCATCTGAAGAAGTGAGGTCTGCTGGGATATAAATTTTTAACTTATTTCCAGCCCGCCTTTTCACTAAGACTCAAGGCAGATCACAGCATGGAACCGTGCAGTCAAATAGCGCAAGGCATTCACTAGAGCACGCGACAGGACTAAGATTACAAAAATTAGGAACAATGCAAAACAAAGCTTCAGGCATACTTCACAATGCTTTGGAAAGTACAATACAGGACCTTGCTGACCATAAACTGCTTTGACTCGGATCAGTGCCTTGATCCGAGGCTGCCTGGAATCCTCCTGACCAGTGTTCCCTCTAAGCTGAGTTAGTGAGAGCTAGCTCACAGTCTTTTAGCCTCCGGCTCATACATTTTTGTCTTCGCTCAGGAAGGGAGGCTCCAGAGCAAACTAATTAATGCAGTCGCCAAATCGCTCGCTCACAACTTTAATGCCGGTAGCTCACGAAGCAGAATTTTTGCTCACAAGACTCCACAGCTTAGAGGGAGCATTGCTCCTGACCTGTACTTTGGCTTGATCTCCCTGTTCCAAGCGCATCACTGGCTGGTTGTGAGTTCTGTGTGGACGATGGTTGCGTATAGGGTTGCCAGCTCTGGGTTGGGAAACGCCTGGAGATTTTGGGGGTGGAGCCTGAGGAGGGCGGGGTTTGGGGAGGGGAGGGACCTCAGTGAGGTATAATTGTTGGGTGATAGTGAGATATTGAAAAATTGGTATTTAGCAGAGATAATATAGTCCAGCAGTGCCAGAGTAAAATAATTCAGACTCAGGAGTCCATGTGTGATTAAAATATAATTTTTTTACTAAATTCTATCGTGGGAAGGGTAACTGGGATGAAAATAACAACAGAGCATAATCGGCTACATCCTTACTCTACAAAGACAAAACTAGAAGAGAGAGATTATGGCTACTCTTCTTCTTCTTCAGAACACCAAACAAAGTCGGGAAGAGAGCCATAAAATGCTAATATACCGTGACACTTTAGTCCCAATCAAATTCCTAGATCAGGGAGAGAATTCCCGGGTATTCTACAGCTAAAGAACATTGGTTACATGAAAAACATGTGACTTCCTGTGAATAACATAAACAAACATTTAACCCCAGATATACTGAGTGTTTCCAACTTGTAATACCCAACAATAATGCCATAGAGTACCCCTAAAATATCAAAGAATTGTTAGAAATGCAAGAATGTTTAGGAATGTTTATGCATATGTGGTAAAATTGTGGTTATATGCAAACATTTTGGAAAATGGTTCAACAGATGATATGGGAAATTATGAATATGAATGTAAACTTGGTACCAGAAATATACCTGCTGACTATTATTCCGGATAACCTTGATCAAAACGATAAATATTTATTAACGCATATACTAACATCATCAAGAATTATGGTAGCAAAATATTAGAAAACAGATAAATTACCCTCTAGAACAGAAATAGCTAAAAAAATATTAGATGTAGCAGAACTAGATAAATTAACAATGATATTACGTGGAAAAGAGGAAGTAATATTTCAAAATAGATGGTTAAGAATGTACGAATGGTGGGGAAAACTTACTATGTACAAGTCCTCCAAAAAATGACTGTAAAGGTTTAAAAATGTATATGGCTGTATAATGTTAAACTTAATAAAAAGAATATTTAAAAAAATGCCATGGAGTCCACCTTCCAAAGTGGCCGTTTTCTCCAGGGGAACTGATCTCAGTTGTAATTCCTGTGTTAGTCCGCTGCAGCAAACTAAAACAGAAACCTAATGGCATCTCAAACAGGAGATCAATTGTAATCCCAGGGGATCTCCAGCCACCACCTGGAGGTTGGCAACCAAGTTGTGTATGATGGGTATCTAGTGATGGTACTCAGCGATTGATGGTACAGTTCTGGCTTCCTGGGATGGCTGCCAGTCTGAATACTTTTAAAAGTGGTTTTTGACAAGGTGCATTCTTTTTAGGCACTTGAGCACTCTTCTGCATGGAATGCCCATGGGGTTTTTAAGAAATTTGGAGACAGTGCAATAGCAGAATCTTGAAGAAGCTCAACCCCCTCCCCCTAGACTGTTCCCGCTTTAACACCAGATCTTCTTCCTCCTCCAAAGTATGAAGAGAAGGCTAGCCGGAACTCCTCCATGGAGCAGCGGGTCCAGGATCTGGAGCAGCAGTACCACGAGTCTGTTACCGTGCAGCACATGCAAGCCACGCTACTGTACGACATCCGGGCCCAGGTGCACAACGTCTCTCTGCTGGTGGAATGGGTGCGGCACAACCCCGGCTGCCTAGTTCCTGCGGAGATGCGGCTGCAGCAGGAGATGCACCGTCCAGGTGAGGTTTCTGGCCTAGGTCCCTCTTGCAGGGAGAGGGCCATAGCTCACTCACAGACCATGCGCTCGGCATGCTCATGCTCCCGGGATCCATCTCCCATTGAAGGCTTTCATCTAGCAGACAGGAAAGGGGCCCCCTCTGCTGAGACCCTTGAGATTGCTGCCAACCAGAGCAGACAATAATCTGTGCTAAACAGAACAGTGGTGTGACTTAGCATGCCCTAACTTGGCTGGCCTGATCTTGTTAGATCTCAGAAGCTAAGACGGGTCAGCCCTGCTTAGTATTTGGGTGGGAGACCTCCAAAGAAGACCAGGGTTGCTATGCAGAGGCAGGCAATGGCAAACCTCCTCTGAACATCTCTTGCCTTGAAAACTCTGCAGGGTCACCATAAGTTGGCTGCAGTTTGACAACAACAACAACAACAACAACAACAAAAAGATTTAGTATAAGATAGCCTCATATATACTGTACCTCCCTCCGCCCCATCCTGGATTTTTATTCATCCTATCCCAAAGACTCCAGGTCAGACGTCTGCTACCTTTTACAATTAAAGGAACCAAACTGTGTCAAAATTCAGAACAAGAGTTCAACAAAGGGCTGTTCTAAGAAAGCCCATGTGCATGACTTGAAACTATACCATGATTGAAGTTTATAAGATTATGCATGGGATAGAGCAGGTAGAGAAAGAGGTACTTTTCTCCCTTTCTCACAATACAAGAACTCATGGGCACACCATAAAATTGCTGAGCAGTCAGGTTAGAACAGATAAAAGGAAGTACTTCTTCACCCAAAGAGTGATTAACACATGGAATTCACTGCCACAGGAGGTGGCGGCGGCTGCAAGCATGGACAGTTTCAAGAGGGAATTAGATAAGCATATGGAGCAGAGGTCCATCAGTGGCTATTAGCCACAAGGTATAGATCGGGGCGAGTGATGCTCTGTATTCTTGGTGCTGGAGCAGGGCAACAGTGGGAGGACTTCTAGTGTCCTGGCCCCACTAGTGGACCTCCTGATGGCACCTGGTATTTTTGGCCACTGTGTGACAGAGTGTTGGACTGGATGGGCCATTGGCCTGATCCAACATTGGCTTCTCTTATGTTCTTATGTTCTTATGTACCACTTAACATTACTGATTAGTGATGTGTTGACTATTATTTTCATTGGTTTATTTATTTACATTATTTATAGTCCACCTTTTTCACTGGGACTCAGGCAGACTACACAGAGTCAGTCACTGCAATCGACAGGATCGTACAGCAGCAGACAATGCAAGCTGTACAGAGTAGCTTATTCCACAGTCCCTAACCTTTGACCCAAGCATTTTCAGAACCATTTAGTTATAGTACAGTACTAGTGTGTGTGTGTGTGTGTGTTAAATGCCGTCAAGCCATTTCCGACTTAGGGCGACCCTGTGAATTAATGTCCTCCAAAACATCCTGTTGTTAACGGCCTTGCCTCAGGTCTTGCAAACTGAGGGCTGGCCCGGCTTCCCTGATGGAGTCCGTCCATCTCATATCAGGTCTTCCTCTTTTCCTGCAGCCTTCAACTTTTCCTAGCGTTATTGTCTTTTCCAGTGACTCTTCTCACAATGTGACCAGAGTACAATAGCTTCAGTTTGGTCATTTTAGCTTCTAGGGAGAATTCAGGCTTGATTTGATCTAGAACCCACTGATTTGTGTTTTTACAGGTTCGTGTTATCTGTCAAACTCTCCTCCAACACCACATTTCAAAGGAATCAGCTTTCTTCCTGTGAGCTTTCTTCACTGTCCAACTTTCACACCTATACATAGTAATGGGGAATACTATGGCACGGATTTACTCGATCTTGGTCGCCAGCGATCCATTCCTTACCCTCAAGGATCTTTTCTAGCTCCTTCATGGGTACTCTTCCCAGTCTCAGTCTCCTTCTGATTTCTTGGTTGCCGTCTCCCTTTTGGTTGATCCTCTTGCTTGTGTAAAAAAAAAAAGCCCTATAAAGTTTCCACAGCCAAATCCTGGCTGTTGGGGGCCTTTTTTTAGGCACACATGAGGTACAAATATATACAGGAGCAGCCCGGGTGACTGTTTTAGTGCACCGGCAGAAATCCGTACATAGTTTGCACAGGAATTACTGGCAGCTGTTCACCTCTCTCATTTCTCTTTTAGTAAAGCATGTCTAAGCAGCCCTCTACTCCCATAATAATCTTTGTCTGCCACTCTCTTCACATACTGGTTCTTCCAGCATCCCGCCTATATGTCTTAACTTAAAGATTGCATCTTAAAGAGCCACATTTGGCTTTGTAGCTTGAGGTCTTTGCCCTCTTCCCCCCCAAAAAAAATTTTTTTTGAACATCTTTTTACTGAAAGGACATCTGCTTCCTCTAAATACAGTTCTTAAACTGTCTCTCTTTTCCTTGGCACTGAGTGATTGAGCACCTGCTTTCCTTGCAGAAAATCTCACATTCCGTTGCTGACATCTGCATTTCGAAGGCTGTCTGCCAGCAGACACCTTGGAGAGCCACTCCTGGCCAGGGGAGACAGCTTGGGGCTCACTGACACAATCTGCTGATTAGATATCAGGCAGTTTCATGTGTACAGCTTAGTGAATCGTAGCCCCCATGGGCCACAGCTCCAAGGGGTGGCCTCCTTCTGACCAAGGCAGGCCTCCGCAATCATAATGGAGCATGGACAAGGAGAGGGACGAGGATGATCAGGGGCCTGGAGACCAAGCCCTTTGAGGAAAGGCTGAGGGACTTGGGAATGTTCAGTCTGGAGAAGAGGAGATTGAGGGGGGACATGATTGCTCTCTCAAAGTATTTGAAGGGCTGTCACTTAGAGGAGGGCAGGGAGCTGTTCCTGTTGGCAGCAGAAAAGAGGACTTGCAATAATGGGTTTAAATTAAGGGCGGGAAGGATATTAGGGAAAACTTCCTTACAGTAAGAGTTGTGCAACAGTAGAATCAGCTGCCCAGGGAGATGGTGAGCTCCCCCTAACTGGCAGTCTTTAAGCAGTGGCTGGTCAGGGTTACTGTAGGCTGTTCCTGCATTGAACAGGGGCTTGAACTAGATGGCCTGGATGGCCCCTTCCAACTCTGTGATTCTATGATTCTGTTCTATGATCCTATGACTAAGAATTCCATGCTGAGAAAAGTGGGAACGCAAGCCTGTTAGAAAGGATGCCTGTTCAGCCAGGATGCTTAAGTGTGCACCAGCCTTCTTCTGGCAAAGATCCCTGCAGGGGGCTGATGGTCCTCATCCCTGATTGCTAAAAAAACCCACCTGCTGAGTGCTCCCCTTCTGCCCCCAACCGTGCTGAATTTCAAACCTATACTTCTCTTGGGGCTCTGGGGTGCAGGGTTGCTGCCCTGTGGTCTCCAAAGGAAGGAGCCATTCCTTAGGGTTAGGCTCAGCAGTAGCTTTTACAGCTAGCCCCATCCCATCAGATCTTGGAAGCTAAGCAGTGTCAGCCTTGGATGGGAGACCACCAAGGAAGTCCAGGGTTGCTACACAGAGGCGGGCCATGGCAAACCACCTCAGAACGTCTCTTCCCTTGAAAACCCCATGAGGGGTTGCCATAAATCAGTTTCAACTTGACAAAACTTTCCGCTCCCACCCCCGCCATATTCATCAGGCTCCACCCTGAGGCCACAGGCACAGCCGGGCTCTGTCCCAGGCCAGCTCACCCAGATTCCGCCTAGCTTTACCCTGTCTCCCCGGGCTCCACTCAGTCTCAGGGGCCAGGGCAACTCCGCAGACATGAGCACCGCAGAAGGATCTCCTGCTTATTCCTCAGTGATCCATACAACATAACCTAGACATTGCAGTGAGCGAGTTTGAGGATCCAACCAGTTTTCCCATTCAGTCCCCCCTGATCCCCCTCTTTGCTCTGCTCCCATTGCACCTGATCCCCCAGCATAAGCTTTTTGGTGGACAAAGAGGATCCCTCTTTTCTGCAGTTGAAAAGCTGGCTGGAGATTCCTTGTGTCAATGCAAATGCACCCAAAATGGAGGTGTGGGGGATTTCTCCCTCTCGAACCTATCAATTGATGCATGACTAGAGATGTGAGAACCCAGGAAAGTGCCAGGGATATGCAGGGAAAAAAACAAACACATTCTCTACGTAGCTTCGACCTTTCCAGGAAGTTACATGCCCTAAATATTCTACAGCTTCAGACCCAAACATTTGAGATAGTCATACTCTAAACCATCTAGAGCTTTAAAGTATGAATACTAATGATTAAAGAAAATCAAAAGCCATCTTCTATGAAGACCAACCAAAGTGATCCAACACATTGTGCACCAGAACTCTCCAACAGGCTGAGTGTGTTTTAAAAAGAAAGAAAGAATGGCAGAAGGAAGGAAAAAACTGTGCTGCAGTCTAAAGGCCTCTTGCCTGCATTCTGTGTAGAAGAGTAGACAGGTTTGAATGGATGTATCTCTGAACACAGCACTTTACAGAGTAAAATAAGCAAAACAGCTGGGAGGGACCCTGCTCCAAGAAGCTTCCAGTTGGCACCTCCAGAGTGGGGGGAACTACAGATGAGGGAAGGGGAGAAAGGCTGAATGTGAACAAATGCAACTGTGCATACTTAGGCTCTGTTACAACTGGGGATGGGGACCAAGGGGGAAAAGCTGAAGTCTTCCTGCAAAAAGCAGCCTCAGAGCAGAGATTTGAACAGGAAGAGAGCGAGAGAGTCCGCATGCAAACAGTTCCTGATCTCGTGGATGAGTGCCTGTTTTCCCATTGGGTGATTTCCCTGATGCTCCCCACACCTGGGCATGCTGAGAACCTTCACATTCATTCAGCCCTGGGTCCTCCCCAGCAAAAGATTCCTATGGGGCCCTCTTCCAAGATGAACAGAGCCCTTGACACCAATCCACAGAAGAGGATAAGCTCCTCGAGACTTTCACCCACTAGCCCAAATCCAGCCTGAGCCTCTGACATAAAGCACGCCTGTTTGGCCGGCCAGCCTCTCTGGCCTCTCAGGGCTGTCTTTCAAAGAGACCATGTCTGATGCTTCTTACTGGACATGCCAGGGACTGAATCTGGGACTTTCTGCATGCCAAGCAGATGCTCTACCACTGAGCCACAACCCGTACGAACCTTAGAAGAGCCTAGCTGGATTGGACCAGTGGTCCATCTAGTCCAGCATCCTGTCTCACACAGTGGCCAACCATTTTCTCTGGAGGGCCAACAACAGTGTGTGGAGGCCGAGGCCTTCCCCTGGGGTTCAGAGGTTGACTGCCTCTGATTGTGGGAGGTCCCCTTTAGTCACCATGGCTGGTAGCCACTGATACACCCATCCAGTGTTCCCTCTAAGCTGAGTTAGTGTGAGCTAGCGCACAGTTTTTTAGCCTCTGGCTCACACATTTTTGTCTCAGCTCAGGAGGGATGGCTCCAGAGCAAACTAATGTATGCAGTAGCCAAGTCGCTTGCCCACAACTTTAACACCAGTAGCTCACAAAGTAGAAGTTTTGCTCACAAGACTCCACAGCTTAGAGGGAACATTGCACCCATCCTCCATGAATCTGTCCAATCCCTCTTTAAAGCTGTTTATTCTTGTGGCCATCACAACATCCTTTAGCAGTGAATGGTACATTTTAATCAGCTTTATCACCCTATATTTCTCTTCTTGGGCTCCTCAAGACCTGCTGCCAGATGATACTTGTCTGACTGGAGTGATTTGGTGTAAGAGAGCCCCATATGCTCCATGTAGGTTTTGCTAGTTGAGGGAAGAGCCAAAAGCACAAAATCCCTGCCTTTGGATTCGTTTCATTGGGCTGTTTCCTTTCTCAGATGTGAGGCATGCCAAGAACTGTCCCATTGACTGTGCCTCCATATACTACAATGGAGTCCGTCGCTCCGGTGTCTACAGCATCATGCCGTCTGTGGAAGGGCTGCCAATCGAAGTGCTGTGTGAGATGGATGTGGAAGGTATTGTCAGAAGCAATGGTACTGCCTAAGTGATAGTCCTTACGAGCACTTTCTTGGAAGGCCAGTCAAACATTGCCTCTCCCAGGAAAGGGCTATTGGAAGACATTTCTGTCCAGGACTCCATGTAGCTTTGGAGTGGTGCACACATGGCTGAAGCTCCCACTCCATGACATGTGTGAATACATGCAAGACGTGTGTCTCTTGCTCTCCCCTTTTCTTTTGAAACGTTTGGTCTGGGTCCCGGTGCCACTGATTATTTCCCCATCAGTGGCAGCTGGTGGCATGGACAGGAGAGAAGGGAAGAGAGAAATGCACAGTGCCAGTCACATAAGACAATTGATATTCAATTTTAAAGAGGGGAAGGGGAGAATAAGAAATGCAGCTGATTTTTAAGCTGCTCTTGCTTGGCCGGCCAGCCGGCAGGCCTTTTCTCATTTCCCCACTCTGCTACCTAAGTTATCCATGGCTTTCCTTTAATCCCTCAGTCCAAGTGTATATTTGAACCCCAGTCTTTCTCCAAGGGGCCCTGGGTTGAGTTTGCCCCCATTTTAGTCCGGTGAAGGTGGGTTGAGAGAGAAGGAGAGGGTCCATTACTCAGTGGTGGAGCATACATAGGCTTTGCATTCAACTGGTCCCGAGCTCAATCCATGACATCCCTGCTAAATTGGATCTCTACAGCAGCTCCTAGCAGAGAAGATAAGTCAAAGCCAGTTTGGTGTAGTGGTTAAGTGTGCAGATTCTAATCTGGGAGAACCGGGTTTGATTCCCCACTCCTCCACTTGCACCTGCTGATGTGACCTTGGGTCAGTCACAAGCTCTGGCACAGCTGTCCTTGAAAAAGAGCAGTTTGTGTCAGAGTTCTCTCAGCCCCACCCACCTCACAGGGTGTCTGTTGTGGGGAGGGGAAGGGAAAGGCGTTTGTAAGCCGCTCTGAGACTCCAAGTGAAGGGCGGGGTATAAATCCAATCTCCTCCTCCTCCTCCT